GTGGGATCTGTAATTTTTAAGTAGTATTTTGATAGTATAAAAAGGAATATAAGGTTTTTCTTCTTCCAGCATCTCATAGCTTAAGTCACTTGTCTGATAATTAGTAAACCAGTGCCAGATCTGCAGCCATAAAATTGGCTTTCTGCAAATTTTCGGTCCTGTTGCTTTAGAAGTATTTCGAACAAGACAATTAAGCAAATATCCAGAGGAAAAAGGTATGCTGGTAAACAGCTACTGGTGAGGAAGTGCTAATTTAGACATTTCTCCCCTTCACAGAAAACGAGAGTACACACATTTAGGACCGTACCTAGAGCAGCAATTTAGCAGCTTTTAGCACTGTAGCCCTGTGCTGGTTCCTGCCCAGTCTCCTCACAGCCCAGGTAATTAAGTTGATGTTCCAACACAGCTTCACCTGCTGACCTTTCAGAAACAATGTGTTTTGCTGCATTAACAAATTAACTTCAAATCAGTGGCTCTTCCAGTAAATATGGTGTGCCCAGAGTTGGAACACACTTGCCTGTCCCATGGTGGTGCAGACAGTGATGCCAAGGTTGGAAATGAAGCCCTGTTCCCTGAGGGTGCTGTGCCCACTGCCCTGTCCCTGCTCCGCTCTGTGCTGCCCAGCACTGATCCCAGCCATCCTGTTTCCCTGGGAATGTGCAGTTTGGCTCACTCTTCTGTTCAGATCTCCTCAGGGCTCAGGAGTGCAATACATCCGAGGCCTCAAAACAAACTGTGTTCCTGGTAGCACTTCAGTGGGTAAGATAAATGTGAGTGTGAGGGTTGGATTTGCCTGTGTTGTTACAAGCACTGGGGTCACAGTTCTGAGAGTTAACACGATGCCTGTTTAGAAGTCCAAGAGACACAAAAGTTTCTACACCTTTAATCTTTTCCCAGAGCAGCATTTGTATGTGTCTTTATTGTGGAAACACGTAGAATTATTTTTTGATCAGAGATGAAAGCTTAATCATGTGTGATATCTAAATCTCAGCTGGAAAAAGTAATGCAGTGACAGGATAAGGATATGAAAGTATTGTCACCTGCAAAGGAGTAGTTTGTTGTAATATAAATGCATCAGGTATTTGTAGTGTATTTATTTTCACTTGCACAGAGCTAAAGGGATACTTGCACAAGTAGTTTTGAGTTCCAGGCCATATCATCTGGGCAGTGCATTCTGAGCCAGGACAGGAGCTGAGCACGTGTCACCTCCAAGTGCATGGGAAGTTTAACTGGAAAGTTTTTCCCGTGCTCTTAAATGTCTGGTTTGAGGCCTTTCCCATAACCCTTCACAAGCACTAAAACCACTCTTGAGGTTTTAGTGAAAGCGTTTTTGAGTATCCTGCTCTCCGTTGGCATAAGTGTAGTCTAGAACATTTGGGCCTCGAGGGCCACGAATCCCCCTTGAGCATCTTTGTTGTCTCAGTAAATTTTGTCTGACTGGAGTGCTGCTCCTGCTGCCTTTGGTGTGACAGCAGCTGTGTCCAGCCCAGGACAGCAGCAGACGTGGGGACCTGTCCTGTCGTGGCACGTCTCAGGTCATGGGATTTGCCACTGTTTTGGAAAAATCCAATAAGGAAAAGGGCCTTTCGTGAGGTGAGTATGAAGGTGGAGGCCGTGCTGCCAGCTGCTCATGCTGCCTGTGCCAGGGAGTGTTTGTGCAGGTGACTTTAATGCAGTTTCCACTTTGCCACCGCAGCACAGACTCCGCCCGCCCCGGCCGCCGCCGCCCCGGATCCAGCGCTCGGCCCGGCCCGTGAGTAGCTGGGGTTTGTCTCCCTGCACAGCTTAACCCTGCCTGGGCTGCCTCCTCCAGCACTACTAAACCTGGCCCTGTGGGCTGTCCAGCTGCACAGGCCGTGTGTGAGCTGTGCTCTGACTCTCTCTCAGCCCGACACACGGGGGGTTCTGCTTCTCTCTGGAGTCCTGCAGCTCTGCAGGTAACGGGGCTGCTCTCCAGGCTCCTCTGACCTCTCGGGGATTGCTTACCCAGAAAGCCCTGCTGGGCTGGCAGAAGTTTTTAGCCAGTGAGCTTTTGAAGACTTGCACTGAACTCAAATACGAAAGGAAGCAGAAGTCTGAAGAGAAAATATTTATTCTCTGCAAGTTATGCTTTAAATTACTTTGGGATGCTTAATTGTTCTCCATGGGATGGGTGTGTGAGTAGAGTTGAAGAAAGCAGGTGGATGTTTGGGCAGTAGGACACTGGTACCATGCTGTGAAGGGCATACACTGAGTCATTGCAGTGTAAAACAGGCATGGCAGGTTGGCCAGGGGAAGGGACTCTGCCGTGGAAGGACTGCACAGAAATTACTGGCAGTGCAGAACCTGTCCTGTGTTAGCCAGGGATACCTTATTTCAGCAGTTTTTGCCCCAAAACACTCCCTGTAGGACAGTTGTTGCCTATGAACTCTACCAGATGGCTTTAAAACTGGAGACTCTGCTGGATCTGCACCAAATTTTAATTTTTTGTGGTAGGGCAGGCAACAGGTATCAGTTTAGGAGGGGTGTTGGTTTTTGCAACAGCCTTGGAAGATATTTATGTCTATTCAGGGCTTCAGCTTCATGAATGTAATTCCCCCAAAATCATCTTACTTCTTGCTTCCTTACACATACACACGTGTACATAAGAAAGAGAGAGATGCAAGTTTTCAAACCTAATCTTGCTAAAACTTGTTAAAATATGTTTTGGATGGGCAGGTAACTGGTTAACAAGTGCACTTGGGTGTGTGTTTTAACTTTTGATCTCTGGTGCATGTTCCTGTGTTACATTTCAATAGCATGTGTTTCTTCTCCTCCTCCTTAACTCTGGGTGTCTGGCTTAACAGAGTCACTTCTATGGATTTTTGCTCTGAAGATTTCTGTTTTCTGTGTTTAAAAAAGGAGCACTGACTATGTTTATATGTGTTCTGTTAAATGTGATTGGTGTGGGAGACCCCCCCAGGTTGTTCCACCGGGATCAGACGTTCCCTGTTCCGTGGGGTTCCTGTGGTGCTTCAGTGCCCTCGTGTTCCATGGCTGGCAGGTGTATGAGGGCATGTTGTGATTCCTCTGCACCAGAGCTGCTGAACAGTGTTGTTCAGATGGAGTCATTTATTACACGGGTTTATTACATTTATACATTTATTACATGCTAAGACTGTTTAATCTCCCAGCTGTAGTGCATTAATAGTCCTCCCTGTGATGTGTTTGGTTCAACTGTCTTTGCTCCCAATGTGATTGATAAAAGGTTGGAAATGTAATAATGAAAGCTCCTGTTGCATTCATCTGGCTGTGTCAATAAGTGGAACAGAAAGGCTTCATTCATCAAGAGGAAATTCAAGATAAATGTAAATGATTATAATCACTCCCAAAAATATGCTTGTACCAAATATACATAAATTTGTTGTTGTTCAGAACTGCTATTTGGCTTTTAATAGTTGAAACACATTTGTGTGTGTGTAAATAATACTTTGTGCAGCTGCTTTTCCCCTCTCTCAGTCTTGGCAGCTATTCCAGAGGTGGGTACCAGCAAGTCAGTGATCCTGGCCTTGTGCACAAGCACTGAAGGAGGACACCAGGTCCCTCTGCTCTTCCAGCTAGGGCCACAGAAGAGCAGAATTCCTGGGAAATTCTTACTGCTGCAGGGAGGACTCCATGGGCACTGGTGCTTGCAATATGAGTCAGTGCTAATAATAAAGCCAAAAACACACACCAAAGAAAGGCTAAGGAAGCAGAACAGAGATGTTCTTTGCATTCTGCTGGTTTGGAAATGAGCTGTGGTGGTATTATGAGAGGGTTGTTGCTTATAATTAATGGAGATCTGTTTGGTCTAACAGTGGCTGTTTGGAAACTTTATTCAATTAGAAAAAGTTAAAATATAATAATTATGCCTAATGTTGATGGGGACAGTAATAAGCACATTCAGCCCTTCTGCCCTGGGAGTTTACCTTTGTTCTTTTGGCAGTGTGCTCACGTAATTGGATTTCTTTGATACTTTTGCATTTGATAAGCATTTAACCTTGCCTGTTTTTCTATGTGAGGCTCAAAATCCAGCAAGGAATGACTTGATTCCTGGCTTTTCCTGCAGTTCCCCCTGAACAATGCCCTAAATCCCCCTTGGCACGTCACCCCGCTCTGCCCTGGGCTGGTGGCCCCCGGAGCCATCCCAAAGTGTGCTCTGTGTCCCTGCTCCCAGCACACCCCCAGAGGTGACAGTGTCCCCAGCCCGGTGACACCCAGCTTTGCACATCAGCTCCCAGCTCCCGTTTAATTAAACAGCTGCTTTCTCCCTCTCCTTCCCCCTTCCTCCTCGGCGCTCCCCTCTCCCCGGCCCTCCTGCCTCTCTCCCCCCTCTCCTCTCTCGTCTCTGCCTGTTTTATCAGCCCTAATGAAGCAGTATTCTTCATCGATCCTGCTGATTGCCAGCCCATTCCTTTTGTTTGTTGGCACCGAGCCATTCTGCCGCGCTCTGACAGCTCAGCTCCTCTAATTAGCTCTGTTGTTCTTTTCCCCATGTTTCACCACGTTGCAAGTTCAGTTGAAGTTGCCACAAACTTAATCCTTCCATTCCTGCCATAAATTCACATTCTTAAGCCGTCTTTATTGTAGAGAGGAGCAGCCTTGTGTGTGGACTGATCTCCAAGACCTTAACATCTGACCTTTTCATAAGCCCTTTTTCCTAAGAAATAGTGGCAATACAGCTCTGGATTTCTCTATCATATCTGCTGTGCACCATTTCCTTTGAAATGAAAATTCAATGCAATAATGCTGCTGCTACCTTCTGCATGCTGGTGTGCAGGGCAGGGGCACTGCACACGGTTTGATGGCTTTTTCCTGGCTGGACAATTTGAGGTTCATGTGCCTGGGAAGAAAAATACAAAAAAAAATCAAAAAATTAAAAAAAATTAAAGAAAAATTCCTCCCCCAACAAATAATAATTAAAATGATCCGTGTTTGGGATTTGTGTCTGGTGTTGGATCAGCTGAAGTGTTTGATGAGAGGTCTCTGTGTGTGTGTAACAGGTTCGCCCACCAAGGCCTCATGTTGTCAAGAGACCCAAGAGCAACATTGGAATAGAGGGACACAGGACTTCGGTTCCCAGCCCTGAACAGTAAGTGCTTTGCTGCCCTGGCACTCACTGAAGGAGGCATTAAAAAATACTGCAGATCAAAGTTATTTTTTAACTTAACAAAAAATGGCATTTTTAAAATTTTTGGAACGTTGTAGAGGAAGTGTGAAAAAGCAAGAAACCAAAGTTTGCTTAACAGCAAATTCTGGTTTGCCAGGTCACACACAGTGGCATCAGCGTGGTCAGTGAGATTCTCAGGTGTTGGAGGTTTGTTCCTCTCTGAGTTGGTTTGTTTTGCACTTTTCTGTGAAGGACATTGTCAGGCACAGCCCTGCAGACCCAGCCTGCTTGCCAGGCTGTACCTGGGAGGTGCAGACCTGCCTGTTCCAGGGTGATGGCACAGAGGGCTGTGTCTGCTGGCAGAGGGCAGCACCAGGAGGGCTGTGAGGAGCTCTGTGCTGAGGGCTGGGAGGGCTTCTCTGGCTGCCACAGCACCAGCAAATTCATCACCCCTTTAGCTGTGACAGGAAAGGGGTAACACTCCAAACCAGCTGTGCTGCTGCAGCCAAGCACTCCTGGATAAAACGTGTTGGTCTCCAACATCTGTCTGGTGTGTCCAAGCAGTGTGTGCTGTTACCTTGGAGAGACTTTTTCAGCTGGTTTCACAAATGTGACATATTCCAGGACTTTTTACAGAGCACCCAGCGCTGTGTGGGTGCCTGAGGAGTTAGCAATGGGCCATCAAGGGAGACCCTGAGCAGAGACTGGGTGTATTGGACTTGCCAGCACAGCCCAGGGGACAGAGCTGTGTGTGACAGACCCAGGGGAGGCTGCACTGTGTGCACTTGGGGGCTGCAGTTGTTGGTTCTCCTGGCTGTGGCTGCTCAGCTGTTCACGGGAGCTGAAGGTCCCAGCACCAAGTTCTGCTGGGCACAGCCTGGCATTAGCTGCAGTTCTTAAGGGTCCCAGTAAGTAGGTTCCACCCCTCAGCTGAGAATCTGGGGAGCTTAAGGACTGTGCCTTTTGGGTGGGTGTCCCTCACCCCGCAGAGTGAAGAGCAGGGGCAGCTTTTCCCAGCCTCTCCAGGTGGGGAGATGCCCTGGCTCTCACCTGAACGGTCTCTGTTCAGCGATATTTGCCGGTTTCCAGCAGTTCTTTGCCGTTTTCCAGTGGAATTTGGTTGCCCTCTGGTGGAGCAGATGCAGAGCCTGCAAGGGGCCCGTGCTGGCCCTGCTCAGAGGTGACAGGGATTTTTAAACTGAAAGCATTTCCTTACTGTTTGATCTGTATGGAGGTGGAGGATAATTGAATCAGTGTCACATTTCTGTGTGTTCATGTGGAGGGTTCTGCACTTTGGGTTCCAAAGCTGCTGCCATTCCAGGGGGCCTCACTGCTAACATGCATCTTCAGTTCCTGCCACCATCAGACCACAAATTAACAGAAACATGAATTTTAACCATACTATTTATACACCACAATATATATTTTCACTTGTGTTACCTGGTAGTGTTGGAGGTGAGGAAATTTAAATCTTTAGTTACCCGAGTTAATTTTTTTAGTATGTATGAAAGGAAAGCATTGTTTTGGGGGTGTCTGTGCTCGTTTTCTAATCAGTCTTCAATTAAAGCACAGTGGGGCAGGAGCAGTGACTGCAAAGAACACCCAAGATCGTGGCTCATGTCTGTTGTTAAACCAGTGTGTTTAGAAGAGTCAGAATTGTCAGTGATTTTTTTCTTCTATTTCAATAGAAAGTTTATTTCCTTAGAATTGTATCAATAACTCAAGGTTTGTCATGTTTGATTCTTAAAAATTTGTCCTTAATCTAAAATTTATAATTTTTAAAAAGCTTTTCTAGCTCTAAGGTAACAGGAGGAGTTTGCAGATGAGAGCTCAGGAAATGCTGCATTTACCAGCCAGGGCAGCCCTGACACTGGGCTGTGCCTCCTCAAACACAAATGAGCTGGTCACAGAAATAAGGTGTCGCATTTTCAACAGATAGGCAGATTTCTGAGAGCTCCCTTTTACACCACAGCAAGATTTCCTATTAGCTGTGGAATAGGCTTTCCAGAGTGCTCTGGGATGTCTCCCAGCTGGCTCCCAGGGCCTGTGGAGCGGGAGGAAATGGAACGGGGCAATCAGAGGGTCGGGCTCCCAATTACCGGGTGTCAGAGGCCCTGGGGTGCAGTGACAGGTCATTATGGCCCTGCCCCAGCCCTGGGCACTCACAGGAGCTGCTGCATTCCCTGTGTGCAGGACCAGGAGCTGCTGCATTCCCTGTGT